CAATTCAAAATACATTGTAAATGCCCCAAAACATGTAGTAAATTGCTTATCATCTATATCACATAGTATAGGCAATTACTTGTTCTTGTACTTGTTACTCATGCATATATACATAATGACTTTATTTCTTAAATGCCCTCAATCACTGTAAATGCAAGACTAATTCCTTTGAATCATGGTGGAACACAATTAGGGCGAAGCCTCAAAAGTCTTAAGAATTACCTGATATGTGATTTCCCAAATTCAATGCTCCAAACAAAAATCCTCACATCCAATCAATATTTTCTATGAAAAATAAAGTATAAGGGTGTTAATAAAATAGGGATGATCCATTATTTAATCTCAAAACGTAGCCCACTATGCTTTTATCATAAAATTCTAAGAGTTGAACAATTCTTACCTTGCTTCACCAAAGGAGTAAGCAAAAATTCTAGACTTGTAAAAAGGGTAGAGGCGCACAAGAGAGTAAAACGAAAAAGGAAGAGTGGTGTCTATGTGAGAGAAGAGAGGAAAAGAATAGGTTAAGACTCATTTAAAACACTAATTCTAATAAGTACATCCTTGCCTATCACCCATTAGTGACTTGAAGCCCACTTTTATAATTTAATGATGGTCATGGTAAAGTGGGATATAATGCTTATCCATTTAATCTTTAGGGCTTAATCATATAGAGATTTTAGTAATTATGATTTTTTTTAAATTTTCTCATAACTAATATTCTAATTAGCTTATTAGCTAATATGAGTTGTTTTATCCTCCACAAAAGATGAATAAAAAAATACTTTATTTGTAGTGAAGTTTATTTGTATATTGAGGAAAATATGAATTCCTAAATACTGTCAAACAAAATATTAACATACATTGAGTTGAGATTGAAAAAAAATGAATGAGAATGTGTAGTGGAATTTAATGCTTGTACCTGTACAAAATATTAACATATCTAAAGTTGTTGTACGTGCAGTAATGACATTTGTATGATTATGATTTCCGACATTTAATACTTGTATGGTTATAATTCCCCACATGAAATTTTCTAACCTATATATATGGAAAATTTGTCACTGTAGCACGTAAAACAGCTGTAGAAAAATCAAATCCTATATATATATGGGGTTTACATTTCTGCAGCTGTTGTACGTGTAACAATCAAATACTTGCCATATATATACTTGAAAGTATTAAATGCGGGGAATCATAACCATACAAAGGATGAAAGCTTTAAATGTGGAGAATCATAATCATACACATGTCGTTGTTGTACGTAAAGCGGCTGCAGAAATGATTTTACACATATATATATATATATATATCACGTAAGTCACTACTTAAAATTTAATGAACAACTTCATATTTAAACTATATAAGTCATATAACTATATAAGACATAAGTCCAAAAACATAAAAAAAAAGTTTAACAACTCGTACAACCAAGTTTCAAAACATCAAATGAATAAAGTTTAATAACTTCTGAATTATATCAATTGACTCAAATGAAACACATCATTTTACGTAAGTTGCATGTCTTCGTCTCTTTCTCCTATAACAAGTTCATTTGCAATAAAACGTAATAAATTGATTCAAAATCCACCTCAACTTGTACTCAATTTTTTACCAGTGACTTCACCTTCTTCTTTCTCTGCAACAATGAGCTCGCGCTAGGGTTTTTTTTTCCAGATAGCTAGAAGAAGATGTTGTGCATTTTGATTTGGGGGAATTGAAAATAGTGTTTTTTTTATATAAAAAAAGGGTCATTGGTTAAATGCTGACTCGATTCAGCTTTTTTTTTTGTGTGGATATGACCCGATTAAGTTTTTTGGTTTAAGTAAAAACATAGAAACCTGTGCTTTTGCAATTTTACACAGAGTTTTTAGCAATTTTTACTGATAAGAGTTTTTCCTAGCGTTTTAACATGTATCACTTCAGTAAAAACATAAATTTTTACGTTTTTATACTAGTTTTTGACAACAATAGTCGAAGGAGATAAATTAATCTACTAGCAGACCTACGTTATTGCAAATGTGTGCAAGTGCGAACATAAATTTTTGGGAGAAAGAAGGGTAAAGTACCTTTTGGGTCCTCAAAAAAATCATGGGCCCAATTTAATCCCTTAGAAAAAAAAAATCGACTCATGGTTCATCTGAATTTTAAAATAGACCATGTTAGTTGAAATCGTAGTTCTTCTGGAATTCAAAGAAGACTCGTATTATCTCATGATGCATCATAAAATATGTTAGCATACAAAACAATCCATTCAACCTAAAAAGCATTTAGTCACAAAATTTCTATACCATGAAGAGCAAATAATTTAGGGCATCTATTTATTTCATGTAGCATGGGATAATTATCTCATACAACAGAGACAAAATAATGAGGTCCATTAGTTTAAAAAAAATTACTAGACTTCACTACTTTATTTCTGTTGCATGAGATAATTATCTGATGTATCATGAGATAATTATTTTCCATAATTTAATCCAAAAACTTAAAAGATATTAGAAGAATGATATGCTAAATGTCAACCTTAAAAAACAAACCCGCTCTGCACATGCGATTATGATACCAAAGTCCTCGCTTCTCAAAGCCCTGAAGACGCGGTCACAGCCTCCACGCTGTCCTTCAAGACGGCACACTAGACGACAAACTCATTAGTCTAAAAATATATTATTTTGATGTTGGACAAACGAGTCCAATAATTAAAAATTAATATATAATCGATATTTATAATTTTAAAGAATTATAGCGACCCAATGGTGCAGCTCAGTTGATAACTTGGCGCTGAGTTAGTGGGGTTGGATATGTGTTCGATTCTCGCTGAATGCATTCTTGGGGAGGGGGCTGAACCTTTAGCCATCACTGTTCCCCTGCACTCCGGATTAGTCCCATAACCGGTTCAAAGAATCGAAACTCGTGGGGATACCGGAGGGAGCCAACTCGTCTCAAAGAGATAATTAGGGTTGGGTAACTCCAAAAAAAAAAAAAAAGGAATTATAGCGAAGTTTTTATTTTAAAAAAATTAATGCATTGATCACCAAATATTTTGTAAACGAATTTATGAATTCAATAAAGAACTAAAAAAGGCGATAAATCAAAGCATAAGGTTTAAAAAATAAATAATAAATTTTATCAAAAACATAAAAAAGGGCAACTGATGGTCCCCTGTTACTGCATGTATCAGGCCTGGAAGAGGGAGTTTTCATTTTTTTTTAGAAAAGCATACAGAAAACAGAAAAAACAAAAAAGAACTAGGAACGCGTCCTAGACCAAACTACTCCTACATAGTCCCTTTTAAGTTTGTCACGACAACTAGAAGGAGGCGAGCTAAACTCTTGTAAAGACCAATTAAAGGAGTAGGCAAAAGATGCCATCCAATCTGCAAAAGAGACAAACTCTTGTAAAGACCAATCAAGGGAGTTTTCATTTCAATTCTAGTTTTGTAAAATAATGAACGCATGGAATGTGATCAGGATTGGCTGTTGTTCACGTTAATATTGTAAACACAAAATGATAATACGTTACTGACTAAACAAAAAAGTTTAGTATCATTAATTGATAAGTATAATGAGTTGACCCATAATTTTGATCCATTTGCAATACATTATGGAAATGGAAGAATAATATTATCAGACATACACCAAACAATAAAAGATTAATCAAACTTGGTAGGTTTCCCAAAAACATAAAGCATTAATGTTGTACTTAATTAAAGCATATTTTGGTGTAGAAGAATTAACATGTTCACAATGTAACAGAAGGCTTTATCCTTATAAATGCATTGCAATGTTTTAAAATTGAATCCCACATTGAATCGCCCATATATTCAATGATTTAATTAGCTTTACAAACCTACCAAGTGATTGAGTGTACGTAAACTTGATTTTTAATATTTTTTTATTTTGTAAAATTAATTTTAGTCACGAATGTGTATAAAGTGAACTGCTAGTTAAAAGTTAGCTAAATTTAATTTTAAAACCGCGACTTACTGGTTTGCATTTATTGCTGTTTTGTTTACAAATCGTTCTAGTCTCAGGGATCGTCTGGTAAAATTAAAGTAGTTCTTGCTGGTATTCAACTGATCAGTAATATGTACCAAAAGTTTTGTTGTTTAATATTGGTTTGATTTTTAAAACATCCTTGCATTGTGAAAGAGAGGATTTCTACATCACGTGATTATTAAATGAAGTGTTAATTAGTTATAGCCTAAAAACTGATATTGGAAGAAGTAAAAATGGGCTTTATTGTTATCAAAAAAAAAAAAAAAGGGGCTTTATTAATCTATGCAATAGGAGGAAACTCTCTCAGGTTATAGAGACAATTATGTGTGGGACCCATCCACTTATAGAAAAAGAAAAAAGATAAAAAAATAATACGAAAATCGATATATATGTAGGAGATACAAATACTCTCCTATAACATAAGAGTATATTTTTTCAGTAAAGATACCAAAAAAGCCCAGCACAGTTGGTAGATAGCTCATCATTTAAGTATGCTGACAGGAGTTTGATCCCTAACCGCGTGTATAAAAAAAATTTTGTTGGAAGAGACTATACCTACGATCACGTGATCTCTCTGCCTCGAGAGAATTAGTCTTGGCTTTCGGCCGAGGATACTTTTGGAACAATTTAAAAAAATAAAAATAAAAAAGTAAAGATTGAGCAATTATTATAGCATTGCATTGCATATATGTGCTGTACTGAAATAGTATAGTCAAGTTTAGCTAAAAGAATGTGTCATAGTTAACAAGTACTAAAACAAATTCAACTCATGATGCCGTGCACGATTAACAAGATAATCAGCTTATATAATGACATTTTTTTTTCTTTTAAGAAAGTATGGGGCCATTTGCAAAAGACAAAGTCCACACAACCCCTTGACCTATAAATTAGTTGTCTCGCTCTTATTATGAGCGTCTTTACACAGAGATAGAGTTAATTAGCTACATATAAAGTATAGCAGAACTGCTGCTTCGAACCTGAGGAGAAGATCCACAGATAAGGTTTGAAATGGCCGGTGGGGGATTCTCCATTGATGCCCCAGCCATTGGCTACAATGGCAAAATAACAATCTCAGTTGTGCTCAGTTGCATCGTTGCTGCATCCAGTGGACTCATTTTTGGATATGATCTCGGAGTTTCAGGTCTTTTCCTTTTTTTTCCTGTTCGTACAAATTCTTTCCTCCTTTTTGTTCTTCTTCTTATCTTTTGTTCTTAACCTTTCTAAAAGCATCTAATTAGAGCATGATATTTGCTTTCAATAAGCTTCTGCTTTGATTGCTTAACGATGACTTAACTCCGGTGCATAAAAAATAAAGAACAGGGTACATAAAAAATATAGTAGTTTTAGATATTTGCATAAATGTGATGCTTGTTCTGTTTACATTTCCAAGTTTGCAATGACCTTTAACATGCCATTTTGTTTATAATTGCAATTTACGATTTTATGAAAACAATTACTTGCATAAATTTAAGGATTATTGAAGGTGGTAATTAAATTGGATATGTAAAGGTCTCCCATTTTTTTTAATGAAAATGTTATAAAATGACAGGAGGTGTGACAACGATGGTACCGTTTCTTAAGAAATTCTTCCCAGAAATACTGAGAAAGGCTGCTGGTACCGAAGTCAACATGTACTGTGTGTATGACAGTCAAGTGCTGACATTATTCACATCTTCCCTCTATCTAGCTGGGTTAGTCTCATCTCTCGCAGCTAGCCGAGTCACGGCGGCGTTGGGTAGGAGAAACACCATCATGTTGGGTGGTACCATCTTCTTTGCCGGTGGTGCCATTAATGGAGGATCTGAAAATATTGCTATGCTCATCTTGGGCCGCATCCTTCTTGGCCTTGGGGTCGGTTTCACTAATCAAGTGAGTCAACGCAATCTAAATCATACCTCTACTTGTTATTAATTTATGTAGCGTTCAGTGTTTCTTTTTTTCTTTTGGTATTTGGTCACATTGGTCGTGGATTGGGAGGGGATCCAATTCCTCCCACATTGCACGCGTGCTTCATACCCTATCAAATTTAGCAAACGCTCGCCGTTGTTCTATATTTATTTTGAATTTTAACTAGTATTTAAAGCGGATATTTTTAAATTTAGATAAATGTAAAAAACATAAAATTATAAATGAAGTAGAAAGAGTACATTTTGAGTAGAATATTTAAATATAAACTAAAAAATATTTAAAATTATGAGAAAAGATATGCATAATTAATTCAAAAGAATTATATTTAAATGTTGATTTTCCTTTTTATATTGATACAAAATGGCTAATGCAGCTTGCACCATCATCCAAATGTAATAATATCGATACATGTACGAACTATATATTATATTTAGACTAGCTGCATCACCTTCCAAGTTAACATCCAAAAAAAAAGTCTGATTGAATCCCACCTTCTATTGTACTATTAGCATCAGAGCATAGAATCATATGTGTAAATAGTTTAGTTCAAGCCGGCGAGCAAAGCTTCAATTTAAATAGGTTACAGATATATAAAATATTTTGATTCTTGTAAAAAAAAAAAAAAATTAACTTAAACTTGTTAGCTTATTTAAATCTATTAAACCTTTAATTCATATTAAAATTTATATGAAATAAATAAAGTAATATTATTTTTTAATTAACTTATTTAACTGTTTATTTTATTTTATTTTAATTGAAATAAATAATATCATATAACCGGACCTATAGAATTGTAAGTTAGACATTCTAAGAGTATACATATAGTTTATTGTCTAGGACTGACATGAAGCAGGCGCGGTTGTAGGCACGATAGACCACCTAGTTGATTTATATTTTATACCCCCTACATATACAATGCATGGTAAATTACTAAGCAAAACAAGAAAGTCAAAATAAGAAAAGTCAATGTGAACATGGTAAGCCTAAAAAACGGCTTTTTGACTTTAGTAGGTTGATTTTGATAAGGTTTTACCGGAATAATTTCTTGATCAAAAATATTACCTATATAATGCATAACGACGTGGTATCATGGGAATCACGTTAAGACATGACACTTTAGCAACCGCGTCCTTTGCATTTGTTCCTGACGACTGGAACGTGATACCCTGGCAATCACGTCCTATTCCCAAGACTACTGGAACGTGATACCTTGGCAATCACGTCCTATTCTCAAGACGCGGTACACTCTCAGCCGCGTGTCAGTGCGTCCCATCCCAAAAAGAATTCAACAGGAAGCGGTAGTGTATAAGTCGCGTTCCAGGTTACAAGTCAAGTCAGAGTCAAACATATATATATATATTTCACCTAAAATTTAGACATATTGATATATTCACGGTAAAAGAGTTCCAAAAATCCAATAAAAGCAACAAGTTATTCACTTACACACTCACTCATACGAAAGCCCTTTGGGTTTGAAGTATGAATTTTGCATAGATTCTATTTTTTTTGTTTACCTTAATATAAATCATTAAAAAAAACTCTCACTCATCACGTTAAAATTTTGGATTAAATTGTTTCTTTCACATGTGGGAAATCGGGAAAGCAGACCAAACACAAAACAGGGGTATAAGATTGGGTACTATTTGATTTATTGGATTTTATGGACTCTTTTACAATGAATATATCAATATGCCTACATTTTAGGTGAAACATATATATGTACTTGACTCCGACTTGACTTGTAACTTGGAACGCGGCATATACACTACCGCTTTCTATTGAATTTTTTTTGGGATGAGACGCAATGACACGCGGCTGAGAGTGTACCGCGTCTTGGGAATAGGACGTGATTGCCAGGGTATCACGTTCCAGTAGTCTTGGGAATAGGACGTGATTGCCAGGGTATCACGTTCCAGTCGTCAGGAACAAATGCAAAGAACGCGGTTGCTAAAGTGCCACGTCCTAACGTGATTCCCATGGTATCGCGTCGTTATGCATTATATAGGTAATACTTTTGATCAAGAAATTATTCCGGTAAAACCTTATAAAAATCAACCTACTAAGGTCAAAAAGCCCTAAAAAACCGTACCAACCCAAGTACCCAACTTTGTTTGATCAGTTTTAAGCAGCCTAAATGACGACCGAACAGATTAGTATTAGTATTGGTATTGTTAATTAACCGTATGACGTTGGCATGTTGCATTTGAAAAAGGCTGCGCCGTTGTACCTTTCTGAAATCGCTCCACCCAAATGGCGAGGCGCATTCAACACGGGGTTCCAATTCTTCATAGGAGTTGGAGTGGTTGCTGCAAGCTGCATAAACTATGGCACAGCCAAGCACACTTGGGGTTGGCGACTCTCCCTTGGCCTTGCCGTGGTGCCTGCAGCAGTAATGACATTTGGAACCTTTCTTATAACTGACACTCCCAGCAGCTTGGTGGAACGTGGCAACATAGACCAAGCTAGAAAAGCCTTGCACAAAGTCAGAGGATCCACCATCGATGTTGAACCTGAGTTAGAAGAACTCATTAGATTGTCAGAAATTGCAAAATCTGTGGAGGAGGAGCCCTTTAAGACCATATTCAAGAGGCAGTATCGACCTCACTTGGTCATGGCATTTGCAATCCCATTCTTTCAAACACTTACAGGGATCAGCATAGTCGCATTCTATTCACCCAACATCTTTCAGTCTGTGGGTTTAGGACACGATGCAGCTTTACTTTCTGCCGTTATACTTGGACTCGTCAACCTTGGTTCTATCCTCGTATCCACTGCTTTTGTTGATCGGTTTGGTCGAAGAATCTTGTTCATTACGGGTGGCATTCTGATGTTTTTATGTCAGGTAATTAAGCAACTATATATATATATTATATAAAATTTATTTGCATATCTTATACGTACACATGGCTTGTACTAATAACTATTTGTATCACCATTATAAAGATTGCGGTGTCAGTTTTGCTAGCAGTGGAAACTGGTGTTCATGGTACGAAGCACCTATCGAAGGGCAATGCTGTGCTGGTATTGGTGCTACTGTGTTTCTACGCAGCAGGTTTTGGTTGGTCATGGGGTCCTCTTACGTGGCTAATTCCAAGTGAAATTTTCCCCTTAAAAATCAGAACAACTGGACAAAGCATAGCTGTTGCTGTGCAGTTGATAACCATATTTATTTTATCACAGACATTCTTGACAATGCTATGTCACTTTAAGTTCGCCGCCTTCTTGTTCTATGCGGTTTGGATTGCAGTGATGACCGTCTTTGTTATATTTTTCTTGCCCGAGACCAAAGGAATTGCTTTGGAGTCTATGTACACCATATGGGGCAAACACTGGTTTTGGCGCAGGTTTGTTGTTAAAGGAGAAATTGACCAACATAATCTTCCATGAAGTAAATATCACTTTAGGTATATTGTTGTTTGTAAGTGAGATTCAGATGAAATTTATTGGCTCTTCCCTTCCTAAAGCTCTATCACAATAAACGCTTGTCCGATCATATCATAGAGTATATATATATGTGAATGGCACTGCTCCACTGATCAAGGAATTTTGTAGTATTTATTAATTTTGCATCTGATTTTCTTTACTGCACTGAATCCTTATTGGTACAGGTTTATAAGCATTTCATAATGGGTAATACTTCTCATAAGAGAAGTATTATCTCATGCTCAAACAAAAATTAGGAGAGAGAAAAAAGTTGAAAGTAAAATAAAAAAAATCTTGTGGGATCCATTTGAAAAATGTGAGTGTAGGAGATAAAAAACATTTTATGTAACATAAGAAAAGTAATTCCCTTTCATAATTTCCAATATTATGTATAAGTTTGTGTCAATCGAATTTAACTTCATTATTATGCATACATACGATTTCATCAAAATCTAAATGAGGAGTTGAACTTTTTATGCCGGAGGGTCTACAGTTTAAAATTATATTGGTAAATTTTAAAATGAAAGTTAAATTTTTTTTTTATAAATTAAAAATCGACCTACATGTTATTCAGATAAATCAGATCCCACCCCGTAACCAGTATGTGAAATGTAACTAAACACGTTTAAATAACATTGTCCAGTTCCATATGGGATACCAGTTTGGTGTTGAGATATTCAAGTGTGATGAATCTCACATTAGTTGATAATGAGCTAAGTAAATTATATATAAGTGAGGGAACTCATGAACTCAATGTCTTTATGTGACTCTCCCGTTATATGAATCTAACATAGCTTGAGTCAGAAAAATAATTGAAACATTATTTTTTATTCAAAAATATTTGAATAATAATTTTATTAATTTTATTTAAAATAAATAATATAATATAGTCAATCTCTAAGCTTATTCTAAATAAATTTTTTAAAAATTTGAACCTATTCTATTTTACTAAATATAATACGATTAAATCTGACCTTTTGTAAATCAGGCCATATGCTTTAAATTTTAATTGACCACATAACCTGTTTACATCCGCTGATTGCATGAAATACTTTCAACAAGTCGCGCTGGCTAAGTTTGCATGACCGGTTATGCAGGTGGCATGTAGATTCGCCAACAGAACTCTCAACTGCCTATCCAGGTCACGAGAAGGTTTTTTTGGGCTTGGTCCATGGTAGTTTCTCTCCAGAATAGAAAAAAAAAAAAAAAAAAAAAGACGAATTGAAGAGGAAAAAATCAAAAAAATAGGGATAGAAATAGAAAAAAAAATTCATTTAAAATAAAAATACCACTGAATAAATAATGAGCCTGGAGCATATTAAATTTTTTCGGAGGTCACATTGTGAAAAGATGATCCCATTTATGGAGTGAGAGAAACTTAAACATGACATCTTACAAAATATTTTCTAAAGTATGGAATATTAAGTTGAGAAATAAGGCTCATTAATAATTTTTATATTTCATCTTTTTAATATATATTCGTAATTTTTTTATGAAAAAGATGGCAATAAGATTTTTTTTTCCCTATGATTTTAAACAACCAAAAAAAAAAAGTGTGACGGAGGTCAGATTCTCCTATAAATCATTTATGCTTTTTTAACTTACGTATTTACACATTATTTAATATTAAAAAAAATCAACGGAATGATCTCCGGAGCATAATAATTAACTCATCAAACTTCATCTTTTCATTTATAAAACTTAACAAATACATAATAATAAGAATTCGAGCCATAGCGTATTAAAAATGACAAAATAAAACATAAATAAGTAAAGAACAATAAGCTCGTGAGTCATAATCTGGCTGGCTGGCTCTGAGGTTAATATAGAATGTGCTGGTGAGCAGTAGGGGAGGAAATTGTATGTAACTAAATATATTGTCCACTCCCAATTTCTCGTATTGGATTAGGATGCAAGTTGTTTTGTTACCAATAATAATTTTGGACCGAATCTCCATCTTTAAACTAATTATTTTGAATTGTTCACGAGCAAATGATTCTGTAACATTCTCTATAACTGGCTAGCATATATGATATTATATTATTTCTTAAATCTTATTTTAAATAAAGAATGAGAATTATAAAACAATAAAGAAAACGAGATTCTAAAGTAGTGGATATAAAAGAAATACTCTTAAAATTTGATTATATATTAAACAATAAGTCAAGTCCACTAGTACATCTGGAATTAACTAAATTACATCATCATCTAAATTGAAAGAAAATATTTCTACTATATCGGGGTTGAAAACTAAAGTCACTCTACGGGTACACAAATTCGCTCTGAACTCTGTACGGTACTCAAAATCTTTAATCGTGGTGTTTCATCCTACTCCTAAAGTACACATACTGGTATGCTTATTTTCTGGAAATGTTAGCATAAACATAAACACATGTGAGATAAATCTCAATAATATTGGAGTTTTCAAATTATAACCAGTGCAGCCGTTTTAGCGAAAAATATCAATCACTCAATATATTTATGATAAATAAATAATAACGTAAGTAACAAACATAGAAATGAACATATAACCTTTAATCGAAACTACTAAAGCCCAAACCTTTGTACGTCTCTGTATGTGAAATATTTATGGGTAAATTCACATCAGAATATCATTTAGTTAAAAATTACATATTCTATCAATATTCAATTGGTACCAAAGGAATTCATTAGTTCTATAGTCTTGTCAATATAATTCTTATATTCAATATGAGCATATTCATTAATCTACAAAACCAAAGACAGAAGATACACAAGAGAATAGAAGAAATTCATAAAAAAAAATGGTTTGCTAGAGTAAAAACACATTCTCAGTTTTTAAAGAAATAACTTCAAAATGTTAACTTAAAATATAGAATAGGTGAAGAAGAATGAAAATAGGAGAATGAAATTCTCTCCCAATATTTCCTTCTTTTTTATTTCCTCCATTTTCTTTTTTCTTTCTCTTTTTATTTCTTTCTGTCTTTCTCCTTTCTTCTTTTGCCTTCACCTCCTTCTCTCTCCTTTCTCGTCTCTTTTCTTTTCTTTCCTCGATTTCCTTTCTCTCTTTTCAATTTTCTTTCTCTCTTCTCTATTTCCTTTCTTTCTTCGTCAAGTATATATATATATATATATATATATATATATATAAAATGACTAAAAATCTATCTAATAATTACATATAATTAAGTTTTAACAAAACTAACTAAAGCATAATTAGCTAATCATTACATAGGTAAAATAATCTTAAGTATCCTTATCTCTTACTACTACACGTGGTCTTACCATATTATTATTTTATATATATGTGTGTGTGAGCGCATGCACACACATAACCACATTTTTTATTTTTATTTTGAATATTACACATGGGTAGGCTTGGCATTCTGTTTTAGTTGGATTTGTCGAATTAAATTAGTTGGGCCGGGCCTAATCAATCGAAATAATGATGAGATTTATCTGTCTAATTGAGTTTTGAGACTCAAATTTTAACTCAAAATGCATCGATAAGTTGATTGCTAGATGACAGGGTCTTCCTTCCCTGTTTAAGTGTTCAGATGTTGGTATCTCGTTTGTTATCTATTCCAAAAGAAAAAAAAAATCATGACATTTAAAGCAACCGTTTTTTGTTATCCCCTTCAACAAGAGATCCGGCCATTTATTGTATGCTCATAAAATAACTTGTTTATTTGTTTTCTGTTAGGATCCAGCTAATACCGTTGGGATTATTATTATTATTATTGCTTTTTTCCCTCAAGTAGTTACTTTTTTTTTCTAAAAAAAAAAGCACTTTTCATTTTAAGTTCGTTTGGATGTATGCTTATAAAAAAAAAACAGAAGTCACAGAAAAAGTCAAAAACCTACTTTTTTTAGAAGCTAAAAATTTTAACTTCTGAAAAAAGTAAAAATTAAAAGTTAAATATTTTTTTCAAAATTTAAATATTTTTATAAAAATATAAATAACTTTAACTTTTGTAAAAAATACTTTTAAAATAAAAAAGAGATAAAAGTTACTTTTTCTAAAAGCCCAAATAACCATGCTCTTAGGTGGTGTTTGGTTGGGAGCTTTTCAGCGGATACCTATCTTTCTCAAGTGAGGCTTTTAGAAACACCATGTTTGTTTCAACGTTTTTCACCAAAAACCTATCTATTCAATTTGTCTGAATTTATGAGAAACATAGATATCCGCACTGTTGATTTCATAAAGTTACCTATTTTTCCAGTAAAATTTTTCCCCACCAAACACTTTTTTTTACATTTTTCTACCTATCTCACTTTATCTATCTTTCCAATTATTTCTCTATCTATCTCATTTCTCTACTATTCTAAAAAAAATTTCTGAACCAAACGCCCCCTTAATGTCACTGAGATTGCAGAATCCCCTTGCGTAGCATAGAAGATAGAGACAAAATAGATTATCCTTGCTCAATTATTATGCATCCTCACAACCAATTTCTCATATAAGTCTTGTTTTTAATTAAGCAATTCTGCAGATACTTATCTGCAGAAATAATTTAAGACAATGTAACCCAGTTAACCGCTAGACGAAGGATTAGATTAAAGCAGAAGAATCAAATGATGGTAATTCAGTTGATAGCAAGGGAGTTTAGTAAGTGGAAAGGAAAGGGCATTAGTTTGATCCCCACATATCATCTTTGGAAGGAGTTTAAGTATCTTCATTCCTGACCTGCGCCGCACTCCGGATTAGTCCTATAGCCGACTCAAAAAGGCAAAGCTTGTGAGGATAACGGAGAAAATCAACTCATCTCAAAGAAATAATTAGAGTTGAATTACTCAAGAAGAAGAAAATTAAAGCAGAAGAAAAGAAAAAGGTATACAACCAAAAAAAGATTTGAAAGGGAAGATATAATTTTGGTTAGGTGATAGACGTTAGAAATTTTATACTATCTTTATTAATTAATATTATTTTCTATTTCAAAATTAATTGGGTTAATAAAATATTCCAGATAATTATATAATAAACC